GTGAGATACACCAGTTGATTTCTAGCCAACACCATCAGCTTTAGACAGTAGTTGTGTTTTAACCCGGCAGGCAGCTAAAACAACCACACAGCTGTTCGCTCACTTCCCCCTCTGTGGGATGGGGGAGAGAATTGAAAAGCAAACAGAAGGTAAAACTCATGGGTTGAGATAAAGACAGTTTAATAGGACAGAAAAGGAAAATAATTATAATGATGATGATGAATATACAAAACAAGTGATGCATAGCACAATTCCTCACCACATGGAGCCGATGCTCAGCTAGTTCTTGAGCTATATTGCCTCCCAGCCCACCCCCCAGTTATATACAGAACACAACATCACATGGTATGGAATATCCCTTGGAGAAATCTGGGTCAGCTGTCCTGGCTGTGTACCCTCCCAGCTCCTTGGGTACTCCCCGCCTTCTCCTTGTCAGGCCAGTATGAGAAGCTGAAAAGTCCTTGACTGCTTAGCAACAACTAAAATATTAGTGTGTTGTCAACATTATTCTCATCCTAAATCCAAAACACAGCTCTAAAACAGCTGCTAGAAGAAAATTAACTCTGTCCCAGCTGAAACCAGAACACCAGTTCATGTACTGCTTTTCACCGAAGTTGGCTGTAGGCAGTAAATACTGCAAAACTGGGGCAGCAGTGACCACTTCTAGTGATTTGTAAGAGCAGTAACATTTTGATGGTTCGTGTTGCACTACAAAACAGTTTGATTCTTCACCATGATGTTGGTCACAAATTAAAGAGCACAGCTGTGTGGAGCTGTCTATATGACACATTTCAGTGAGTACTGAAAGCGGTGAAGACTGGTTTCCCATAGAGGTGTCTTATGGTGATAGGCTGGTTTTTATTTTTAAATTTCGTTAGACTAAAATAGAAAATAAAGGCAGGAGAGACACCTTGACTGAGGAACGTATTCTTTGGTGACTAATAAGTTCTGATTAAGATTTTATTGCTTTAGAACATTTGTAGCATCCTCTTCCTATGTGGTTTCTCTGTCTAATAAAAGATGAGCTCACACGGCAGGCTTTTTCCTCAATAGGGAAATAATAAGGTATCTCATGGCTACATAACTGCCTATTCTCGCAAAACTAGCTGGAAGTGGATGTGTTTGAGACCTTGTTCACGTTGCTGAAGCATATGGAGAAAACAGGCGGTCAGTATTAGTATGCCCTTACCCACAAAGGAGTAGGATACCCCGTCAAAGAACTAAAAGATGCACGGTCTCATACTAAAGTGGTCTCAAGGACAATCTGATTGGCAGCTTTTTCTTCTCCTGTGTAATGGATTTTCTGTAATGTAGCTAAATCTTCCCTGTATAGGTATTTTCTTGAGGATTATTCCAAGGCAGTCAAAATGGAAACAGTCATGAGCATCTCTTTTGCACTCTGCTTGCTAGTTGTATTTGACTTTGTCTTCTGTAACAAAACCGTAGTAAGTCTGCATGTGCTTGAAAACCAGCAGAGATGCTGCTGTATTTGGAGTCATCCTAAGCAAAGAGCATATGTAGCTGTGTAGCCAGAGAGCAGGGGGTTACACTGCCAAGCAAATGTCCTTCCACCAAGGAGGGAATAAAATCCTCTGGGAGCCATGGCTGCGTGAGCTGTTCTGACAAGTTGGATGGGAGCTGCCCAACGTTGGTGTATCATCACCTTCTCCCTCTGCTGCTGGTGCTGAGTGTCCAACCGGGTGCAGAGGGCCTGCAGGAGATGTGATTTTGTGGACCTTTCTCTCAGTAGCATAGCAGCTGCCATTGCTTTCCACTGCTTGGTCCCTCTTCTTGGCTCCCTAAGCTGTGCTGGATCAGGAACTGAACCAACTTTAAAAACAGCCCTGCAAAACAGGAGAAGTTGTAGGAGGATTTATTTTTAATTGGGATCTCTCTGTTCTCTGAACCAGCTCTCTGCGTGGTCCTCAGGACTGGCATAACAAGGCAGTGCTTGGAGCAGGGGTGGGACAACGAGTGGGGAAGAGAAAGGGAGAGAAGGAGAATTGGGAGAAAGGTCTGCTGGTCCCTGGCTTCAAGATTCAAGCACAAATTCAGGGGCAGCCCTGTGAACACTTTCAGCCCAAATTCAGGTGGAGTACAGCTCAGTAATGATCTGCAATCAGAGGAGTAATCACTAATTAGCACTAAACTCCTTTCAGTTTCACTCTATTGACCAGGGGAGGGGAAAGGGAAAAGTCAAATTTAAGCAAAGGGATGGAATTTTCTTTGAAATTTTTGTGCTCTGATACTGCCCCTAATGATTCAAGGAGCTGACCTGCAGCATCTTCGGTGTAGCACAGTGGCACGCGCAGGCCAGTGTGTTGTGCTTCTATGACAACAGCCCTGCGTTCTGTGCAAGTATCATTTGATCTTATTTTCTGCATTGTGCTTCTAACAAAGCTGCTCTAGCTGGCCGCATTCTGTAATTGCTTTTTTAACTGAGATCTGAAAGTCACATTTGTAGCCAGGTACGCTTTTGATTATAGCAATCTAGGGGGGTTAATAGAAGCAGCAGTGTTTCATTTAAAAGATCAGCTTGGAGTGTGCAGATGGATTCTGCGAAGACAGGGGTAGAAAGAAGATATTGATTCCTGTATGATTAGCGGAATACTTCTTTGTTAAAAGTCTGCCTCTGAATCTTTAAATGACTAGGCTTCAAGTGATGAGGGCATCTCACTTTTTTCAAGCCTCTGTGAGTGCAATGGAGAAGTAGAGATTTTAAACTTTTTTTCCTTCTTTAGTAAGTGCACATGTGTTCTCAATGGCATTTGTGGAAGTTATGTATGCGTATGAGGAAGATAAATTACTCAAATAGAGAACTTCTTACTGTATTCCAGTGTGGTGATAGTACAAATCAACTAATCATCTGGATTCATAATTTTTGCACCTGAGATTTCTAATATTTGAACAGAGGCAGTGAGTGCATTGGCCTGAGTGTGCATGTGTGTGAAAGTCAGTTGGATGTTGAATTCTTCATTTTAGAAATTCCTGGTAAGAATCTCAAGGCATGAGTAGAAGAGCCCTTTGCTGATACGCTGGTGAGAAGAAAATTTGTACTTGGGCTTTCTGGAGTGCTTGCAAAGGACTGTAGTCTTACTCAATAGCAGCTGAAGTTCAGAAGAGTGTGTATCAGAATTTTGTTGTATCCTACAGAGAATCACTTGTGGGAAGATTTTACTGCATTCAGTGCAGCTGTTGACTATTGAGCTACAGATAAAGTTCTTCAGAAATGGTCCTTGTTAATGCAATCTGTGAACGGAATGTCTGCTGCACCAGCCCTTTTCTGTGTGAGAAAGTTGCATGTGTTTGGTTGGAGATAAACTGTCGTGCATGTTTTACTGAAGTTTAAATTGGGTTGGTTTTGGTTTGTTTCCTCTCTGTTGCAAATTTAAGTTAAATTGTCATCCCAATTTAAATTGCCATTGGACAGCATTTTGGTTTATAGCTGTTTAACTCCACTGAGTTTTGAACTGTTTGTTTTGGTTTTTTTCAGTGAGTGAAGTCCTGTGTGCAAGTGAGACTTGCTAAGAAGGAAAGTATTTGGGCACATGGTGAGAGTAGACATTGGTAGGAGTTTTGTTCTCAAAGATGCCCGCAAATCTGACTTGTGGGGAAAATTAACTTATTTCTTGGGATGCCAAGATAAGAAGAGACTAACCTTTCTACTTATTGCTTTCTGACACTGCACACAAGTAGCATGCGTCCTAGTTTGGTGGACGAGTAGCTGCTAATCAGACCCATGCTGTCATTGCCCCAGTTTGCACAACCCCCTGACCGGTTATAAGGAGCCAAGACCTTTGCTTGTTTGCCATGGGGTAGAATTTGAAACAGCATTACAGATGAAAAATGTGGTATATCTGTTAAAAGGTAAAGTTTCCTTTTTTCCTGTCTGTAGTAATTTGGTCTGTGTAGTTGTCTTCTGCTCAGAGATGAAAAGGCAGGGGTTTGTCTTCTCCCACAGAGCGTCTGAGCTGTGTACATTAAAGCAGCCAGGGCTGCTCAGTGAGTCCCACCCATCTTGATATTTCAGACTCCGCAGTTGGTTTTGGGTTTTTTTTGTTTGTTTGTTTCTGAATCCAGTTCAGGGTCACAAGAGGAGACATCTCTGAGGCTGCATCTTCCCCCCTCCCCACCCCACTAACATCCCCAATTCTCACCTTCCCCATAATCAAAAGGGATAATTTATCCGTTCCAAATGCTGCCTGCAGCCCCACTAAACCCTCATGTTTTATGCAGGTGCTGTTTCCCCACTAACATCCCCAATTCTCACCTTCCCCGTAATCAAAAGGGATAATTTATCCATTCCAAATGCTGCCTGCAGCCCCACTAAGCCCTCATGTTTTATGCAGGTGCTGTTAATTTTAATTGCAGTCTTGAGAGTAGATAGGTGATGGATGGATTTAAAGTTTTCAGCTGAAATTCCTGGTGTTTCATCTTCTTCCATTGCCTTTTTTTTTCTCTCTTCTGTAAATGTTGAGGACAGAACTTTTCTAAGGATAAAGTGGTGGTGGTGCATGTGCTAGAAATGCAGATTGTCCCTAGTAGGGAAAACAAATAAACAAAATTATTTAGGTTTACCTGCCTTGGAAGCTGTTTAATGAATTGCATGGTTGGATGCACTGTCAAAGATTTTAGTTCTTGGTTGCAGTACTCCGGTTTATTGGAGCAACAGAAGTGGCACCCTGCCACAGGAGTAAAGAATGCTGTTTCCCCACTAGTATTTGAACAATCTGCAATAGCCATCTGTTATTCTTTTAAACATAAAGTGATGCAACAGGTGTATTTCTTGGGTTTGGAAATCTTACCAGTACAAGTGGATAATAGAAATTTAAAGCCAGGATTTAAAAGAGAATTTCAAAGTGTGTTCCTCTTTATTCAGCAGATATCTCTCTTTCTAATATCATAACCACTATAAGCTAAACATATGGTGCACAGTTAAGGAAAACAAATGCTGAACTGCTCTTAAATCTGTTCTTTTTCAATGTTTGTCATTTTCTTAGATGGCTTCAGTAACAGATGCCAGATTCAGGCAGAAAGATACCTCAGATCAAAATTTTGATTACATGTTCAAACTCCTGATCATTGGCAACAGCAGCGTGGGCAAAACATCCTTCCTCTTCAGATATGCTGATGATACTTTCACACCAGCCTTCGTTAGCACAGTAGGAATTGACTTCAAAGTGAAAACAGTCTATAGGAATGACAAGCGGGTGAAACTACAGATTTGGGTAAGTGCCAGCATTTTCAAAAATGCTTTATATTAACCCCAGCAAAGATATGATGGTAAAAAATAGCTTGTTTGGAAGTAGATTTGAATTAATATAGATTTTGATTGTTCATAAGTTTTGTGTGGCTGTATAATTAGTATCCCTGTAGTATAGCTAAGTTCTTTTTCTATTGCTATCTCACTCAACTGGTGGGACTCCTGATGTGGCCTTAAGCAGCTGCTCTACATTCTCAGGAGTCAGTGTACTATTAAACTGCAACAAACCCAAAGGAGGTCTGGAGCCCTTTAGTAGCACCTTTTGAGTGAGCACTAGTAGGTGAAGAAATTCGGTAAGCACTTAATGAGTGACCTCTAGGCATAGTTTCTACTATCAGCTTATGTCCTCCAAATAAGATACTTGTATCTTCCTGCAACTCATGTGCCAGCTCAGCATTGCCAAGCCAGCTCACTTCATCCATCCAGGATTCCTCAGTGGTAAGACAGAGGTATGCTTCAAACCGTCTCTGCTGGCACAGCTTCTTGGTGAATCAAATGGAAAGAGAACATGTGCAGGTAAGCTGGAGGCTCCCTCTGCTCAAACACCCACTCATGGGACCTTTTCAGCCTTTTTGAATTCCAGCATCCTAGCCCAGGTGGGTTTTTTGTGTTTTTGTTTTGTTTTGTTTTTTAAAGTTCCTGAGCTGCAAGCAATTGTGTCAATAGCTCATGATGTTCCTTTTTACGGAAAATAAGTGTTTTCTTTTATTCTACTTGCTGGCAAATGACTTAAATCCTCCAGCACAAATGCAATTTACCCTGATGGTGCTTAAACCCTCTATGTCCTAGTGAATTACTCAGCGTGTTTAACAAACCTAGGCTTAGATTGCTGTGTTTCAAAGTACCATGGGGCTCCAGCTGGAATTCCAGTTTGCAAGATTTTTCTCTTCTGTTTTGCATAAAAAGAAAAGATCTCAAATAGAAGATATGAGGCTAATATCTTCTTAAACAATTTCAGAGGGAGTTAGCTCACTAACTTGAAGCAGCTGTCTACTTAGTGGTTTCTCCCGCAAATTAGGCTTAAAGTTTAGGCTTGAAGATGAGTTGAAACTGTATAGCGTTTCTACCCAAACCCTGCCCCAGCTATGAGCATAGTCTTCTAATTGATTTACATACACTTGATTTATAATTGATCTTCAATTATTGCATTTAAATGTAATATTATAGTAAGTACGTTTGGGTGTTTTATTTATTGTGATGATCTTGAATAGTCACAATAAAAGGGAATCTAAAATGAGGAACTTTTTTTTTTTTCTGCAACAATATGATTCATTTTACATCTGTGTTGCTGGATACAAGGTACAAGAAATCATTTAATAAAAGATCCTCTTCATGTTGCGAAATTCTGGCCTTGAAACTAATGTAGATAACCTGGTATAAAACTGATTTAATTTAGGTAATAAGAATGTTTGGACTTCAGGCCCCATAAGCAATTAATAGATGATTACCATCCAGTTTCTCTTTCTTAATCTTGGAACATGAAATTCACTAATAAGTTTTGTAAAAGCAAGATGGAAAGCACCATGAAGTATTTGGGGGTTTTGCAAAGATGAAAATTAGTTAAGCAATAGTTTTAATTAAATATGTTTGAAGGCTTTTTGGGGAAAAAAGGTTTAATAAACTTTAACTTCTTATGAAAAGAGATGTCAGATGGTTACCTCAGAGGATGCTATCTATAGGACCTGTAATATTAGAATTACCAAAACCACTGTTGATTTAAAATTTATATTCAGTAAAAGGTTCGTGTAAGTGTTTGAGAGTTTCCAGAGTGACTTGTGCTCTTTTCTTCTTTCTTTCTGTGCTCCTTGCATGGATCCCTGATGTGAGTCACGATTTAAGGATCTTAACAAAAAAATTAAATGTGTATCTCTGTAAAAAACAGTGTTTGAACTTGTTTACCTCCTGCCTGACCTGAGACTAAACTTGTAATTTCAATGTGTTCTTCAGGTTCCATGCAGTAGGAGTGGGGGCCATCAGTATACCAAAACTATGTGTTCCCATGTGTAGGAAGGAGGAGTTTTCTTAGCAACCTGTCTTCCAATTACTTTTTTAAATGATTTACAGCTGCTATTGAGTTTCTGTGAGTGTGGGACCCTGCAGCTCCATCAAACACTTTGTGCTTACTTACAACTTGCCAGTTATGTTGACTTTTTTTTAATTATACTCTCCCTAAGCTTGATGTTAAGTCTTACCTGAATCAGGTTTAATGTGAAACTAAGTGAGGAAGGAGAAGGTACAAGCATTTAAATTAACTGCTTCAAATGTCTTTATAAAATCCAGAGAGGAGCACTTCTAGGAGCCTCTGATGTTCTCTGCTCCCCAGAGCCAGGTCTCTTTCAGTTCATGGATGCTTGTGGAGCTCTTAAGTGTACGCAGCTGTGCCAGACTGGAGGTGCTCAAGGGCTGTGCACAAATAACCTTGTTTTGTGTCCTACGAATCTCAAGGCGAGGAGGAAGTTACTATTGTTGTGCTGTGATCCAGAGAGATCAGTAGGACTTTCTACCTTGACTTTTGCCTGTGTTGAACAGAAAAGCAGAATATTTGGGTGTAGGACCTGAGCTACAAAGAGCTCCTTGTGTTTTCTTAAAGCTAGGAAAAATCCACGCTGCTTCAAATGCCACGCAGCTGCACATAAAGACTAACAGCCTGTTGTCGTGTCAGTAAATGTCTTTCTGGCCTGTCTCACGGTTAATGTCTCCAGTAGAAATTGATGAGCGTTTTTAAGCTAGAAATCTAGCTTTTGTGTTTGTGCTGAGTTTGAGGAGGTCAGTATTTTGTGAATCAGGATTTGACAAGCTGTCAAATGTGATGATCAAAAGAGTGCTGCTCTGTTTAATTTTGATGTCATTAGTGGGCCTCTTGCTTTGTTGACATTAACACATCCATCACCCAAATTGATATTTTAGTAAGAGTCCTCTCAGTTGTGCTAGTGACCTCGCAGTCTGGGAAATCAGCTGCTTTGAAAAGACTTGAAAGGAGTATCTCTTGAGTTTGGGAGGAATGGGACACAGCAAAGATATTCATGGTGATTTTAAGGTAGAATGATAGCTCTGCTGCTAAAGAACAAAGCAGTAAAATGGTCTGGAGAGGGGTTACGTGAAATAATGTTTTGTAGGTTGTTTTGTTGTTTGGTTTGTTTTTTTTTTTCTTTAGAGAATTCCAAGATCAATTGACTATTTTAATTTCAAGTCTTTTCTGTCTTGTTTAGGAATGGTGGCTTTATGTAAATAGAATAAATGACCTTTACTGAGAAAGTTCATTCTGTAGTTGGATGAGGTTTGTTAATTTAAACATTTCTAACTGAAAATATTACTTATGTAAATGTCTTCATATATTATGTAGGTATTAGAATATCGACATAAATTTAATTCTTGGATTAGAATTTTTTTATGCCATTGCCATCTGTGATAATACTTTCATAAAAAGCATCTCCCTTATAATATATTTGTAAGGAGCCAATTTATAATATCTCTCTGCATTTGAGGTGTACATGTGGATTATTTCTTTCTTGACCAACAGTTTTCTATTCCCAGAGTTGCTAATTACTGAAGGAAAGCTATTATATTTTCAGCTAGGTATGTTTTTATTAAAATTAAATCTCAAAGGTAACATTATTATATTCTTAGCAAATGTATACAGCTAATACTCAATGCAGTGTTCAGGTTGCCTAGCAGCTAGAGAAGGCCACTTTGTCCAGATCCAGATGGAAGCAGGGTGAATGAATAAAAGTGATTTGCCTTTTAGGTGAGAACAATGTGAGATTTTAATCCCTTTTTTCCCCCCCTTCTGTGCATTTGTGTGTCTGTTGCTGCTAAGTAATACTAACAGCAGAACTCTTGAGCAATGTAGCATTGAGGTTAACTGCTAAGGGGTAAGCTCTGGTCCTTCATGCTGGCCCAGCCTAAGTTAATTCCGTGAGCTCTTTGGATAGTAACACAAATTTACTGATGGAAAATCATTGGCAAAACACTGGTGCGCGCCACAATGCTTTGCATACCGTACACGTGCTTTGTGTGAGGAATTTCATTACGCTTCCATTATACTTTTGTACAGCACCCTACACAATGGAGTCTCACTTTTGTTGTACGTACTACATGTAAACATATAGATGCTTAATAATAAATTTAAACACAGGGTTTGGCAGCTGATGTTACAGTTGAAACCACTTTCAACCCCATTTTTTAAAGGCAAATAGAAGTTAAATTTAACTTCAGGTTAAAAGGCAAAAAGGATGTGATGTTCAGATGGAGACAGCGTATTTAGACTGCAGTATGATTTTTCTTTTAAGGTGCTGCTTATCAGATTTAAACTGCTAGGATGAGTATAGCTTTTTCTTTCCCATTAACAAAAATGTTTCCATGGCTTAACTGCTGAAACCTGTAGGGGTCTGAGATTAGCTGTAGTGGATCTCTGAAACGTGTTACAGCTTTCAGGCACAGCCGGGAAGAGGGTGCGAAGCAACATCGCTCTGTTTTTGTGGGAAGGATCTTTACAAACAGAAACATGACAACTGCTATTTATGCTGAGTGGCAGTTACCATTACAAAACAAAAAAAAAAAGTGTAAACCAAATAAGACCCAAGCTGTCCAGAAGGCAAATATGCAGTGTTTTTAAAAGCTTTTTTTTATCAGTTGTCGCCTGGATGACAGGATGTTACTGTTCAGCTTGCCTTGTAGGGAAGGGATTCAAAGTAGTAACACTGGTAACTAAGTTCATTTTTTCCATTTAAAGGAGGTAAAATTAGAACACTGTCATACTTGATTGTAAATTTTAACATTAATTGCACACTTAACTGAAAGCTAATTATGCATTTCAGATGAGAGAATCATCTACTCCCCTGGCATCCCGTTCCCATCATGTTTTTGCTAAATTCCTTCCAAGCACTGACTTTAAACTTGAATGCTTGCACAAAACGTGTTTCTAAAAAAAGAGATAATGAGTTCTGTAATTTAATATATAGATGC